GGGGGGGGGGGAGGGTTCTCAAATTCAGCTAAAATTGTAAATTCCCTTTTACAGTAAATGTAAAATCTCACACATCCATGTATAATGGCTGACAGCCAAGTCATTAGGATTTCATTGTGAAATCTAACGATCCATTTTCTTGGCAACTTCAATATTCCGCTGCGTTAATATTAAAATTTTCCTGTGTTATCTTCTATCCTGTGTGGAAAATAATTAGGTGCTATGCAGGGTTGCACAGCTGTCTCTCCATAATCATCTTCTAGTGAAACATCAAAAATTCTTATCTGCGCGATTGAAAAAAAAAAAAAAAAACCTTCATGGTTTACAGCAGGGGCGCCCACAATTATTTGTCTGGAGATCTACTTTTCAACTAACGAGCTCAATGAGATCTACCAACGAGAAATCACCTGCATTCAAGGGTTGGAGGAGCGTGGCGGTACATTGAAGTCAATGGCACCGCAGCCAGGCACCACAGGCAGGCCCCTCGCCCACAGAGCGATCGCCTGCACCCGGAACCCAGGCACATTAGTGTCTGCGTTCCAGTCCAGCGCGATCTGCAAAAATGCTGCGAGCACTATTTTTACAGATCGCACTGGACCGGAATGCAGGCAGGCGATCACACTGTGGACGGGGGGCATGGCTGCAGTGCCCATGACTTCAATACAACCCCACACCCGCTTCCGCCCCTGAACGCAGGGAGTCGGCCGTCTTACATTCTTGGAGGCCCCGGTGTCCTGTCCTCCCGTGGTGCTCGTGTAGCTGACCTTGCACATGGGGAGTGGTGTCCTGCCCCTTTCCATCTGCAGCGTCTGACACATTCAGCAGACAGCCGCACGAGCACCGCGAGAGCATAGCCGTAGCCAGCTCCTTTTGCTCCCCGAGGCAAAGAAAAGAAGCGTGCCACAGTAGCTGTACGTGCTGGCCTTTTCTCGTGTGAATGAGGCCTAAATATGGACCCAGAAATAGAGATCTCATCCCTTCCAACTCTCTTGGAAATCGCTCCCAGTTCCAGGATCCCAAGCAGAATCCAGAAAATCCGGAAAGCACTGAAAAGCCAGCTTTCTCTGTAAAAACCCTTTTTCTTCCTGACATCTTTCAGCCCCTGTAGCTGAGAGCCCTAGGTGATCATAACACCAAAATGCCACCGTGGAATTGCCCTACAATCTGTTTCTCATTTCTAGGTTTTAGTTTTAGAAATAATAGTGAGAATTTTGAAGTAAAAAAATTCTGCAATTCTTCCCAACTTTTAATTTGATAGCAGATTTGGAGATATATATTTTTTATTTTCTAGGTTTTAAATAAGAAAAAATAGAGAAAATTGTAGGATTTTTTTTTCTGTAATTCTTTCCAATGCAGCTTTTTACTTAAATAGTGCAGAACTTTTTGAGATAGAGCAGATACATATATATATATTTACCCATTTATATATATATATATATATCCATACACACATTTTTATTCTATCTATCTATCTACACACACACACCTCTAACAATAACCTAAGAGAATAACTTGTAAAAAGCTTTATCCTGAACTATAATTTAAATAACTGTATAGCCAAAACTATTTTTGGCTGGAGACTGTGCTGTCCCTTGTGACCTTGTACTGGCCAGGAAGTTCAGAGACGCCGAACTGAGAGAGTTGGAGCTGTTCAGAAACTTGATGATGACTGTAAAAGTTTGGGGGAAAATGTAAAGATACACTTTGCTGGGTCATATCTATTTGTTTGATCTGGATTCACTATTGAGATAAATGATTCTACTTTAAGAAGGGGATGTCTATTATGTTAGATTTTTGTTTACATCCTCCTGCTTCTCCAGGACAGAGTGTGAAGGGAAATCTCCATTACAGGACACAGCAATGAAATAAGAAATGTTTTAAAGGATATACAATTTTGTTTTTTCCTGGAACTTGCACAGTCAGGAAGTGTCATGACAACCCTTTGCTGAAGGGGACACACACACCAGAGCTGGGATGGACAGGCTGTCTGGTCGCCTAGCAACCAGGAGAATGCCTGTGTAGGCCTTGTCTCCATTGTTTGAGCCTGTTGCTAGGAGACGAGGACGCTGAGCTTGGGAACCGGAAGGAGCAGAGCAGAGCTGTGTGCTGGAGACGTTCAGGTAATGGGGCGCAGGGGCCGATCAGGATATCATACACTGATATTATTGGATTATAGGAGGGGGGCAGAGGATATAGGTGATGGACTCATTTATAGCAACTGGGGACAAAGCTTTCATCTCTCCTGCCTTTTACCAAATAATACAATGACACTCAATGGGGTTTGTTCACTAAAAGAAGCAGGGGTAGCCAAACCTTGACCCTACAACTGTGGTGTAACTACAAATCCCAGCATGCCTCTGGGAGTCTTGCCTGTACCTGTCAGTCTTGCAATGCCCCATGGGACTTGTAGTTCCACAACAGTTGGAGTGCCCAGGTTTGGAACATGTAAAGCAATTCACTTTGCAAAGCATACCCCAGGGGTAGGCGACCTTGGCACGCCTGCTGTGGTGGAACTAAAAGTCCCATGAGGCATTGCAAGACTCTGACAGTCCCAGGCAGGACTCTCAGACACAGATGCATGATGGGATTTGTAGTTTCATCACAGCTGGCGGGTTGAGGTTGCCTACCTGCAATACCCGATCACGTGCAAGGAAAATAAATGAGCATGTACAGCAGTGCATTGCTATTCATTTTATATAGTACCTCAGCCCACTAACAAAACGCGGTGCACATGTGTTGTAACACACAACAGTGCATGGCTGTGAAGGATCTGTGTGGCATGCAGCGTATTCAGTGGGTCGTTACCCATT